GACCTACATAAAAAAATTTTTTCTCCCGAAGTTCTATATAAAAAGAAAAAATGAATAGCGGCACTGTTTTAGAGAATAAAAAGCGTTCAAAACTACTTTCGCTCAAGGTGGATTTTTTCCCCTTAATTTATAACATTATTTCCATTATTTCACCATTTTAGAATAAAATATAAGGAAAATAACTACAAGAAGCAAACTAATTAAAAGACGCTGTTTAAATTATAAAAACAACAAATTAAAACATTGGCATGTAAATATTTAATAGAAATTAGTCAATTTTCCCATAAAATGAATTCTTACCGAATATTTAACTAAAAAACAATATACCCTCTTTAAAACTTTATATTCAATTCAAAATCCTAATTTCAAAATTTATACATCCAGTGTGTATACAAAGCGTTTTCGATCAGAAAACAATAACAAACGCATTTCACTCAATTTTCCAAGAACTTTTGCTGCTTTTTATAGTGTCACCATTTAAAAGTTTAATTAGCTTAATAAAAAGTTTTATTTAAAACGCTATAAAAGATTGTCGAACTATAATAAAGTTAAAGAAATATAATGGCTTTTTCATTTCATATCTGAAACGTGAAAATTAAAAGAATATTTATTGCCTCTGGACTTGATAAAAAAAAAGAAAATTAAAAAATATTTTTTGTGTTAATGTAAAAAAAATTCTTTCTAACTATTGCATTTAATTCTGGAATTCTTGAAAAAGTTCAACAAAAAAAAAAGAAAAAAAAAACCTGACAATGTGCATTTGTTGAAAATATCTCGTTCCTGTAAATGACGTTTTGGATATGAGTCTTCCGCTATATTGACAATCGACATTTCCGAGGTTGTGTCCAACATTTACACACACACACACACACACACACACACAGGCTAACACATACAGTTTTCATATTGAAATTTGCTTCGAGTCAATTCCCCTCAAACAAATATAACACTGATACTGTCGCACCATATTTTCTACATTAAAGCAATTACTTTTATGAGAAAACAACATTCCTCGCAGTCAAACAACTGGTCATTTATTACTCAACCCATTGCCAGTTTTTCAATTACTTTGTTGAAAATTTCAAAATTTTTTCCCCCAAAAAAAAGAAGAAAAAAAAGAAATTTCACAAAACATTTTAAAATGTTCTTTATTTTAAAATAAAAAATAATTTGCTCTCGCTGATTGGAAAACAAAATTAAAAAAAAAACAAGAAAAGAAGACTAAAAAGAAAGGGGAAACAAAAGAAAAGATATAAAATAAAAACAAAAAATCTTGGTAGATTAATGGATATAATATACGTAAAAAATATATTATACTTATAGAATTAATCAATTACTATTGTTCGAAAGTCAAGAATCATAAATTTTATTGCAAAAAAAAAAAAAGAAAAGTTTCTTTAACAAAAATATATTCATATCCGCAAATAAAAGATTCTTTCATTCTTTTTTTTTCCTGAATAAAACAACCTGCAACAAATGGCATGTAAATTGGCCGAGGTCACATTTAAAACACAGCGTTCGCGCATCCACATTCATTATTCTCGCTTTTTTTCTAACACGTATATCTAGCCAGTTATTATAACAAAACGCCAAGATGAAATATAACCTGCACAAAACACACATTCAGCTTGAGTACCTTTGAAAGCATTTTACGAAATTACCTGATAAATGACACGTATATATATGTAATTTTTTTCCCCCCTTTATTTTTATATTTAAAAATAACGCAGTAAAAAAAATATTTATCTGCTAAAATTCTTTAAAAATAACTCAATTCAAATAAATTTCACCTAACTAATGTCATATATACTCGAAGTAAAGTGTGAATTTACTTTATTTTTTACTGTGAATTAATTTTAAAAAAAGGATATAAAATAAATTTGTGCAATTGACTTGTACTACTTGTAGGGAAATTAAACGAATTTTAAACAATTTGTCCGACATGCAGCTGACTTGTACTACTTATAATGTAATTCAATTTTATATAAAAAGTATGTCTGACTAAAATTGTCTTTTACTACTAAAATCAGAATTGTATACAAATTTGAATTATTCTGTCTGACATACCACTGACTTGTACTACTTAAACTGAAAAACAAAAAAAAACCATTTAACTGACATAAAATTAAGTTATACTGCTTTATATGAAGTTTAAAAAAATTTCAACTTTTTGCCTGACTAAAAATGTCTTTTACCACTAAAATCACAATATTAATCGTTTCGTCTGACGTACAACTGACTTGTACTACTGAAATCACAATATTTATCGTTTCGTCTGACTACAACTGACTTGTACTACTAAGACGAATTTCAATTATTTTTTTAAGTCAAAATTATTTTTAATAGTGAAATATTATTTTTAACGTATTTTGTACGTTATGTCCGACACAGCACTGACTTATACTACTTACCCGTGTAGAAATTTCCCTATCAGGGCCCTAGTAGGGAATGAAACGCTGATCAGGGCGATCAGAAAATGTGGATTTCCTAATCAGGGACACATCAAGCGCGGCGTTTCATTTCCTAATAGGGCAGCCTGATCTGGGCCCGATCTGGGCCCTAGCAAAATTGTTGCCAGGGCAAACAAATTTTAAACTGTTTAGTCTGACTAAAAATGTATTTTACTACTGAAATCGGATTAACGAAACTTTAAATCACTTTGTCTGACATAAAATAGATTTATTCTACTTTATTGAGATTCTGCCATTTTTTTACAACAGTAATTAAAATAATACGAATATTTAATTACTTTAATACCTATATAACAAATGTTTTAATAAACTTTGCCTTATTGGTTTATCGATTATTATTATTATTAATAATATATTTGTATATATTTGAAAGGAGAGTTATATAATTTATAAGAACAAGTTGGAACGGAATTATATAGCACAGAAAGGCTGTTTGGCTTCCCACTTCTATATAAGCTATAATCGAATCAGCAATTACATGACTGTTCTCCGGGACATTATCCAAATTGATTAAAGGTGTAATTACATTCGTTGGTTGCAATCTAAGTAAAGTTATAAGCCGAGACCTCGTTTTACAATTGTGTCGCGGTAGTGGTGTGGTGTTTCTAACGCGCGACACGAACTTTCCAAATCCAAGCACGTATGTCCCAAGACTCTCTGGCCTGAATTGTACCCTCTTGAACATAACTGTCTGACTTTTGTAAACGTTTCAAAATTTCATCCAACACTATATTTTTCGAATTCGATTCAAACACGTCTCTCTCTCTCTCTCTTTCTCTCTCTCGATTCTCTTTCTCGATTCTCTTGTCCATAAAGGAAGAGATTTTATCAATTTCGAATAAAAAAGAAATTGGTAATTCTTTTATATTAATGTCTTAAATGAACACGAAAATTATAATTTTTAACAAATTAGTTTTTTTGCTATAAAACAATTTTAATATTCAATATTGAAAAGGGAAATTCATTCTCAAAGAAGCATTTTCCACTTGAATTGTTATAGTTAGAGAGTTTTTAAGGGTTTAAAAAGGACGAGTCCTCTCTCTCTCTCTCTCTCTTTCTGTATCTAAAGGAGAAGAGATCAGAATTTTATGTTGTCGAGAGCGCTCATGTGTCCGATAACGCTTGTGTGCTGCTTTAAGGGAAATGTCGACTCGGATATATTCCGCAAAAGGAAAATTCGCCCGACAAATTCCTTATCCGTTACCCGCGACTATATATGGAATGAGAAAAGAAATCTTTAAAGCGCACTTTGATTCATAGGTGGGTCGTCTTTTGCTCTCCTTCTCTCTCTCTCTATCTCTTTCTCTCTCTGCGAGACAGAACGTGACCTGGCATTAAGTGGCCTATAAAAAATTGCTCATGTAAATACCCTCGTAAAATTCACCCCGCGAAATGTTGCACCCCTTCTCTCTGTCGTCTTCAAAATATATATCCAAGATCTTTACGCGTTGTAAATTTAAATTCAATACGCCGACATGTTATACCCCCCCATTCGATTCAAATTCGCGCGCGTGTCGCGTCTCGACCGTCATTTTCAATCTTGTTCATCTTTTTCACTCTCTATATATGTTGCATCCATTTTCATCCCATTTCGATAGGAACGAAAAGTGCTTTCAAGTGCTCTCTTTTAAATTTAAAAAAAAAAATAGGACATAAGTAATTTTTTTTTAATGAAAACATACATTTTTTTAACTATATATAGATGTTATTTGAAGTAATTCATGAATTTTCTAGCGCATGAAAATCATTTATGAAACATACATTTTCTTCCTTCAGAATATTACCTTTTCAAATGCATAATATTCAAATTAGTTCGTTTGAGTAAACAAGTCTTTTTTTTAATATTTGCACACGCAAAGGCACTCGTTCGTGACAAGTAATGCTTTTTGTGCAAAATTTTACTATATATATACAAATATATATATTTATTTCATTTCAACAAGCAATAAGTGCAATAATTTTATTATTTCCACAATCCAAAATTATAATGTGTGTTTCGATATTGCCTATTCGATTAAAAAGCAGCTCGTTTTATCAAATATATAATCGAAAAAGCAAAATTTAAAAAGTAGAAAAAATATAATTGGCGCCAGCAATATTGAGTGCCTTTTTTAATTAATAATTATTATTGGCTTTATCAATAAATTGCCAATTAAAAATGAAATTTAATCAAATCGACAAATATTTAAATATGACATTAATATTTATTTAATATAACAATATATATACAAAAATTAAGCAACTGCCAATTAAAATTTATTAATTATTGTCGTTCATTATTTTCTTTGTAAAAAATTAATTTTCAAAATTAATTTTCAAAACCAATTTTTGTATTATTCGATTTCAAAATTCGTCTGCGACATTTCCCGATTCATTTTACCCCTTTCCGTTTCCTCCCCAAGGAAATTGTCTGATTACAATTATAATTCCCCTCTTACAAAAAAGAAAGGATTTGGAATTTGATTTTACCCAAAAGTCTATTCGGAGAAAACAGTTTTTTTTTATTATTCTTTTTTTCTTTTGTTTCAGTGACGGGGTTGGAGCCAGACTTCCTTTACCCACTTGATAATGTAACGATCCCGCAGGGTCGAGACGCTACCTTCACCTGTGTGGTGAATGATCTCGGTGGATACCGGGTGAGTCCTTCCTCCTCCGCGAGTGGAAATCATGGTGGCACCGGGGTTCGGGTAACTATCATACCATTTAACCTGACCGCCTGCTGTAATGGACTACTTAAAGACCTATATAACTACTGCACTCTGCGCGTGCCTGCAATTCAGCACTGCATTCACTGCACTTCGCCAGCTATCAAAAACCACTTATACATATATCTCAAAAAAAAAAAAATTATATCTATATAGAGTCAAAATTTATCAAATCATTTAAAATTTTCCAAAAGTATAATTACCCATGTAGAAATTGACCTATTAGGGCCCTAATAGGGAATGAAACGCCACACCTGATCAGGGCGACCAAAGAATGTGGATTTCCTAATCAGGGCCACATCAGGCGCGACGTTTCATTTCCTGATCCAGCCCCGATTTGGGCCCTGGCAAAATTTCCACACGGTTAATTTTCAATGTTACATGAATTTTTTTTATACTCCAACATCAAAATTCTATAGAACAAAAAAATGAAATAATGTTCGTTAATGTTATAAAAAACAACATTTAACATTGAAAATTAAATTTTGTTAATTTTAGATTGATCCGTTTGAAAAATTTTGACCCTATATAAATATATGTATATCTCTTTCCTACGATTATCCAGTTCGATCCGTTTTATTCACGGATCGCAAAACCGCAGCTTGACCTGAACCTACATATATGAGATTCACTTCAATTGCACTCTATCTCGAGTTAATTATAACCGACATTTCTTTTTATCTCTTGCAAATGTACTTTTTTGCTTGGCATTTTATAAAAATAATTTTCTCTAAAGATAATCTGAATTTCAACTTTTTTTTTTTTTCATTTAAAAAAATTTCGAAACAAGTTCCAAAAAATATTTTCGTTTCTTTTACTATATTCAAATTATAGATACAAAACAATCAATCAAAGGATTATTTAACTAAAATTAATTATTTTTTTTAAATTTATTTTTTCTATTTAATAGAATTTTCATTTAACAGAAATTTTATTTAACCAAATAGAAAAAATAGAATTTTTATTAAAAAAAAATTTTTTTTGAACAAACTGAATTGTTATTCTTTTATTTTATAAGCAAATTTTTGAAGTAAATTTGCAAGAAGGACCAATATATAATTTCGGTTATAAATTAGGATAATCCCAGTATCGTAAAAAAGTATCCGATTAAAAACCAACTGTATAAAAAATTAAACTACTCTGAGAAAATCTGATTTGGAAAAAAATACCATAACGAGAGAAATGATTCCAATTTTTAATGATAAAAATAATGTTTAATTTAATATTTTTTAATAATTTTATTTAAAATAGAATAAATTGACTAACTTTTAATTAAAATAATCAAAAATCAAACTTTTATCCAATTTCTCCTTAATTGAAAAATAAAAAAATTAATAATGTAAATGATAATTAATAATAATTAACATCGTTTCGAAATTAATGAATATAGTCAACAATTTGTTTTCACTCTCATCTCAAAGTTAAATAATTTTCAACAACCGAAGACAAGGAGAACATTTCTCTCGTTGTATATTGTTAGGAATCCACTTCCGACTGATACAGATTAGATACACAATTTAACCCTTTCTGATAAATGGCACCTTTACTTTGGCTCGAGTAGCTATAAGCCAAAACAATTCCTGTCAGTTTCTACGAGTAGGATAATTAAGGGTAGTATGCACTTTGACGAATTGCAATGCAATTCTGACGCCTTCTGAGCACGCAGCACGCAGTTTCTATATATATAATAATGATAATAAGACAAAGCACCTAAAAAATTCTCAAAAATTGCCTTCGTTTGCATCGAAAAAAAATATGTCACGAAAAAAAAAATTTCATTATTGCTTCAAGGTCTTGCAAATTTAGAATGTATTTTTTTCACGCTTTGGTATATGACACCAAGTGTGTAATGCAAAGGTTGAATTTTATGTTTAAAAATAAAAGAAAAAAATGTCATCTTTAGATTAATTAAAAATTCTCAAATTTCGACTTCACCTTATAATAATAATAATTTATATTATTAACAGGTGAAGTCGAAATTATATTATGCTTGAATAAAGCAGAAAGACAAAAATAGTAACAAAAAATTAGAACGTTTAGTATTATTAATAACGATTTAGTTATTATTAATTATTTTTTGTAAACGTAAAATAAAAATATGTATAATTAGAAAAGTAGAGAGAAATTAATAATTCCCCTAATATACAAAAATATTATTTTTAAAATCGTAACATTTCCTTAAATTTAAAAAAAAATAATTTTCCCTATATAGAATAATTCAAATTAGCAAAACTAAAATTTTATTTCAATAATTAATATTTATAATAAAATTTTTAACTATTTTATTAACAATTTGGATTAACATATCCAATATAATTAAAAAAGTAAAATACAAATATGACTTTAATTTATATATGTTTATATTTTATGAGATTTTCAAATTACGCGAAATTATTTCGTTTGACACATTAATTAGATCGTTAATCAAACGTAAATTTATGTGGATTAAGAAATATGTGACCCATTTTCCAAATATATCACAAATATACGTTTGACACGTAATTATAAATCAATTTACATATAATCTTTCTCGAATTTGGTTATAATAAAATCAATTTCCAAGTTTTAAGAAGAAGAACAAAAAAATCAATGGGTTTTACATAATTTAATATTTTTTTTCCATTATGTATTTCTGTAAAACTCGAATTGAATAATAATGTTTCTTTTTGAATAATTAATTATTGAATCAGAATATTCAAAGTTCATGATAAAAATATATTTATATAAAAATAGATAAATCTAAAAAAAAACAATAAATAAAAAAAAATTTAATAACTTTTATTAGGGCAAAAAAAAACTTTGGTTAAATTAATCAAATGTTTTGTTGTTGAAATAAAATATTTTTCCAAGTTTAACAATAGAAATAAATACATATAAAATAAAGTACAATATAAAATAAAATAAATAAAAAAGTGATTAATTTTAAATATTTATAAATACAAGAAAACTTATTCCTTTGTTGTTAAAAGAATATAATTTCTTTCTTTTTCTTTAAACTTAAAGAAAATGTTTGAATTTATAATGCTCGAGTATATTTTACTTCATTTCTCTCATCACAAATATCTAGGTCATTTCCTGATATTCTTGCATAAAACTTGGTTCGTTAAATTTACAGGGAGTTTCATTTTCTCCAATTGAATGCCAATTTACCGAGAAGATATTGAGATTGCAGTAACGAAGTGTTGAAAATTAGGAAACGACCTGAAAGTTTTTGTCAACTTTTCACTATCCTTTTCAACACTGTACGCGCGCAACTGTTAAAGAAATGTCTATGTTCTTGAGGTTTCACAAGCTCAAAAAAAAAAAAAAAAAAAAAAAAAATCTTGTTAAATATTCCTGTCAGGTAACACGTAACGAGGTACTTTATATATCAGATGTCCTGCAAAAGAAAGTTGACGAAAGTCGCGAAAAATCTTAACCGTGCTCATCTCCTTCAAAGAAGGTTGGCAATTTTCTATTTCACAAGTTTTGATACTTCGATCATTACTGAATTTTATTACCAATTTGTATCGCATAATTTGCTCAAAATATTTGCTTTCAAAACAAAAAATTTTAAAGACGAAAAATTTAAATATTTAAAAAATAAATTTACATACCATTTTAAAACAAATGTATTAGACAAATTAGAGGTATTGTAATTCAATGTGTTAATAATGTATTTCGAGTGAAGCGAATGAAACATGTTACGAATTTAGTTGATGCTTTATTACGCGTAAATGAGACTACTCAAATTACTTCAGGCTTTCTAATATAAAGTGAGATTTAGTTCTGCAATTACCAAGTTTCGTGCAAGGTTTAATCAATACAAGATTCTATATATCTCAAATTTCCAGTTTTTAATTAACTTCATGAATTTTCAGTTTTCCTCGCAAATTAATACAGCCAATCATGTTACAAATTTTTTTTTTTCAAAATTAAAAAATTATTATTAAATTTAGATTTGAATTTAATTGAAATTTTTTATTAAATAAAACAATTTAAATTAAAAAGAAAATTACTAAATTTTAAAAATTGAAAATTATTATGTATTTAATTTTTAATTTATTTTCTTTTTGACTTTAAAAACAATTTAATTTTTTATTCAATTCAATGAAAGAATTTGCAAGTCGAACGAGAATTTTTATATTTTAGAGAACACTTTTTAAATTTTCATGAAATTGAAAAGGCTGTATCTGACAGTTTTTTTTTTTAAATTTTTATTTCTTTTTTGAAATTATAAGTGTAAACCTACTATTTTAATTAAAAATCATATTAAACCAAAAAAAGGAAATAGAAAAATAATTACTTTAATTTATCCTGATGTAAGTTTACATTATTTGACGCATGTCATTTTTGCATGAAATAAATCGAAAAATATCGAAGAAAAATTGCATGTGCATGTTTCAAATATAGAATAAGCACTTTCTTTAGATAATGAATTTTTTTTTTCATTATAATTTTCAAAATTTGCAAATATCAATTCGTATAATTTTCAAATAATTATAACTAAACTTGTAATAAATTTTATCGACAAAAAATGGATGAAATTAAGAATTGATTATTAATTAATTTATTTTTAAAAATGAGAATATTTTAATTTTAATAATATATAGATCCAAAGGGATATATTAATTTTAGAATAAAATTATTTCTCAGACAATATAGAATATTGAATTATTGGATTATTGAAAATATTGAAAAATAAAAAATTCTCATTTGTTTTGTTATTTTAAATTTCAAGAAAATTTTTTTTTTGTAATATTTTCAATTATCTTTTTATTTTTATAATTTAATTAAATAATCCACAAATATAGTTTTTTTAAATAGATTTTTTTATATTCAATAAAGTCTAATTTAAATAAAGAAAAGAAAATGAACTTTATAAATTACAAGAGACGAAAAATAAATGAAAAAAGTGTAAATAAATGAAACATTCAATTCGTCCATCATCAAAAGATATACAGTATGCGTGTGTGTGTGTGTAAAAACAATTTGTGTAATTTTTAATTATAAAAAAATGTTGAGCAATTTGGAGAAATCCTTTAGGTTCCTCCGATATTAAAGTCTAAGCAAATGAAAGCACGATTCGCCGCTTTCGACCACGACCGCTTTCCTGACCATAAATGCATTCTAGTCCGTCCGCGGGCAAAGCGAAACTTTTAATTAGCGAGTTTATCCATTTATCTACATACCGTTGAAAGGAACGGCCATACCTTAGCGTTGGAAAGTCAAAAAAAAAAAAAAAAAAACGAAAAAAATAAATAAAAAAAAAACGAAACGAAAAAGACGAGAAATAAACGAGGTGTGGTAGACTGGACCGAGGCGCCTGCCTGATCCCAGAATACACTATACAATAGAGCCCCCGAGATGGTTTGCATATGAAAGAGCCAGAGAATAGAAGTCGAGATAGGTGAAGGTAGCGTTCCTAGATACGACCTTTAAACGTATATCTGACGTGTTCCCCTTCCCCCACTCCCTAACTCGGCAGATCGTAAGTTCCAATTTTATAAAGAACCCTCGTGCCCGAATATATATACCTATATTGACTGCTGAAAAATATATACACTTTTCCTTGTTTTTTATACTTTTTTTTTTGCACTTTGAAATCTTTTTTATGATTTATGTCAACGAATGAATTTACATATAATTTTTATTCACGGAAAAACTAAAAAATATTTACAATATACAATATAAAAAAAATTTATTTGATTCAAATACTCGATTATTTTATTATCAAATAAATATTTATTGAAACCAAATAATATTTATATTTGAATCAAATTAAATGTCATTTAATTCAAATACAAAAAGTATTTCTTCAATTATAATTTAATTCAAATAAAAAATTATTTGTAAATATTTATTTGCTAATAGTCAAGATAGATAGACTAATAAAAAAAATTATAAAAATAAAAATTGTGTAAATGAAAAGAGATAGAAAATAGAAATTGTCATTCATGTAAATAAACGATTGATTTCAGTACGATTTTTTTCATAGAGTATAATTTTAAAAGTTAACAATCTTGATATTATATTGAATTATTCATATATATTTAAACCGCGGTCTTAACGTAAGGATAAGAAACTTTTTTAAATTGTTCACTGACTTTCAAAGAAACTTAAATCTTTCTTGAAAGCTTTGGTTCACTTTTTACATAAGAATATACTGTAACTTTTAAACAAAAAATTTCACAAAGCACACACTTTTCATTTTGTGATGCATTTTGTATATTATGCATAAAATTTTTTTTTTTTTTAATACAAATTTTCTTTCATTAACTAAAAAAAGTGTCAAAAAAAAGAATATTCAGAAAAAAAAATTAAAAACAAAAAGAAGTTATAAAAAATAAACGTTCTGTCTGACTAAAATCGCCTTTTACTACTCAAGACATTTAAAATAATGTATGTAACATTTCGTCTGACAGAAAACTGACTTTTACTATTTGTGCAAAAATGAGACATTAATAAAAACTAAATATGTGTAATAAATAATTTAAATTATGTTGAATTGATTGTAAATTAAGTTATTAATTATTAATTATTTAATAATTAATAACTGAATTTTTAATTAATTACAAAATTACTCGATATATTAAGAAATAGAATTTATTATGATTAGAATAAGAGTAAAATGATGAAAAAAAAAACTATTTACCTAGCTTCTAGTATTATAAGTGGATAGCTCTCAACAAGCAATTTCTATCGAACACACATTCTCCTGAGACGCCTTTAAATAAACTCTCTTGCCGAGAGATATTAATATAAAATACCCACTTCATTATTTAAATATATTATAAAAAGTTCTTAAATTTTAACATAGAATATATTTAAAATTAAAAAATTATTTTTCACACCTTTTATGTAAAAACAATTATTTTTTTATAATTGACATTATTTTTATTATTATTATTTACTTTTTTATTATTACTTTTATTATTATTATTATTATTATTATTATTTTATTATTATTATTATTATTATTATTAAAAATCAAATGTCAATTAGGAAATACTCCTTACAACTGAAATCTATTAAATGGAAATAACTAATTTAATTATTTATCAAGAGTAATATTGAGATCAAATTTCAATACATAAAATTAAAGTGCATTTGCATTTAATTACTACAAATGAAAGTGCATTATAAATGCTTGCTAATTAACCCACATAATTAGAAATGATTTATTTCACAAAAAAAAAACAACTGGAGTGATAGAAGAATAATTTTAAATTACAGAAGAAAATATAATATTAAAACAAACGGAAAAAAAAAATTATTTGCTTTTTATTTTATTGTTTTATAAAAAGGCTTTTAGTCTCTATATTTTATGAAATATAATAATCTTAATTAAAAAAGTATCTACGAAAAAAAATTAGCAACTGTCTCATTTATCCTTTAAAATGAATCCTAAATGAAAAAATATTTAAATAATTAAATTTCAATATGTTATCAAATTTTTTTTTTTTAAATAATTTTCTAAACCATATTAAAAAATATATAAAACCAATCACAAATAAGCTACTCTAACAATTTCGAGTATAATTTGTTGAGTAAACTAATACGAAAATATGGGTCAAAATCACATGTATAAAAGTTATCAATTATACGAAATAGCGTTGTTAACTGCTTCAGAATGCTATTGTGAAAAAAAATTGAGTTTGAAAATTGCGCGTATAGAAAAAATAAGTGTGGAAAGGGGGTAGAAATACTATTTATTAAAAGTGAAAACTAAAAACCAATGCATGAGAAATCGATTTCTATAATGAAAGATCTAAAGAAAAGTGCAACCTTTTTGAAAATTGTCTTAGGAACAAAAAAATACTGATAATAATCAGTACAAGAAAATTTTCCCAAAAAATAAGTGAAATTAAAAAAGTATTAGCAACTTAAAATAATACTTCTTTCCGTAAAATTAAATTTTCCAAAAATTAATTGCAAATTAGAAAAAAATAATAAAATATTTCCAATATCATTGCATATAGTGTAATGAAGTTTATTTTTTTTTTTTTTCATTGAAAACAGGTGGCATGGATCAAAGCGGACACAAAGGCGATTTTAGCAATTCACGAACACGTTATTACAAATAACGCTCGACTTTCTGTGAAGCACAGTGATTCACACACGTGGACATTGAACATTAAAGGAGCACGTCGAGAGGATCGAGGAATATACATGTGCCAGGTGAACACTGATCCCATGAAAAGCCAGGTGAGTCTTGAATTGACATTTTTTTTTTCTCGTTTTATCTCGCAACACTTTATGGGGAAAGGGGGGAGATAAAAAAAACTCTCAGATAGTGTCAGTGTGAAAACGAAATAGCTTCGTCACCACTCACGTTGGATACTTTTACAAACAGAAAAATGAAAAGATACCCCATCCCCTCACCTATCACTATATTCTATATATGGAATAAAAGGTAAAAAGTTCTCTAATTCCTTTATCCCAATGAATACGGGTTACAAAATGAAAATATATACACAAATATGTTTTTACCCGCGCAAAATCAAAAAATATAATTATTTATTAAAAATTATTAAAATTATTATTATTATTGTTATTATTATTAAAATTAAATGTAGAATTATAATTTTTATTCCTCGACATTCCAAAACGAATATAAAGCGTAAAAAAATAGAAGCAAACATTTGTTATATTTTATTTAAATTTGTAAAATTTATGATTTATTTTGCAATATTGTTTGCTATATATATATGAAATTCCATTACATTTATATTCAGTTAAATATTTCAATTGAAATCATTTCGTTTGCAAAACACAAAAAAGGTTAATTTACTTTTAAATACCTTACAAATATTTAAATGTATAAAATTCTATTTAAATTGGCAAAATTGAAACAAATTCCATTCTTTGACATACTTTTTTTTATGTCTATAAAATAGAAATTCTACAAATAATCATTTAAAAAACAAACAAATAAAAACGAAACAAAAGAAATAGGTCACAAAAATTTTCAAATTCAATTTTTTTTCCTTCTGTATCTTTGTTAACACTTTAGAATATTTTTTAAATAAATTAATAAACCTAATTAGCGTTTATTTATAAGGGCAACAATAATAATAATAAAATATTAATTATATTTTTTTCCTATTATTAATTTATTCACTTGTTTGATTGGATAAAAAAATTGTTATTATTTATAATAATGAGTTGTAATTTTAGTGATAATTATAATAATAGCGAAGGAATAGAATCTGACATCTTATTAATTCGTGAGTCTTGAGATTTAGAATTTAACCCCGAGAATGTGACATTGCGTTTTGCAGAGCGCATTTCTGGAGGTGGTAATCCCACCGGACATAATTTACGAAGAGACGTCTGGGGATCTCATGATACCGGAAGGTGGTTCTGCGAAGCTGGTTTGTAAGGCCCGCGGTTTCCCAAAGCCAGACATTGCTTGGCGACGGGAAGACGGCAACGAAATAACGTCAAGATCCAGCCACACCGGTGGAAAAACAAGAGGTAAAAATTAACTCGACTTTTTCAAAGAAACAAGGAAGAAAAAGTCTCAGAGAATAACACAAACAAATTAACTAATTTTTTACAAACAAAACTATTTTTTTTTTAAATAAAAAATTAATAAATAAAAATTTGGAGAATGACAAAATTGTCAAAAATTGATTAAAAATTTCAAAAGGGGGAAAATTTTTCGTGAATTATATAAATTTTGGAAACAAAATATATTTATATTTGAGCGCATTTTCAATTAAAAATTTGCTCTGTGATGCGCGAAATGTTCAAGAAGACCGATACTGAAATGAGTAGACACGAAGAGAAGATTGACATGTTACAAACAAAATAAAAGTGCTTGTCAATGAATGAGGACATTGATAAATGTGGTATCGTTGCCTCTCTGTAATTACTTTTTCTGTATATATATATATATATATATATATATGTAGAACCTAACAAACTTTGTACGTGCAAAACGATATACGATTTTATACATTCATTGCAAAACTTTTTATTTCACGTGTGATTAAAAAGAAAAAAAAATCGTCACCAAAAACAATCTATATTGAAAATAAAAAAAAAGCCTTTTTAAATTTCCAAATATTTAATTAATAATTGCAAATATTTTTAATTAACGAAATTTTTTTCACGTGAATAACATACAATTCATCTCACGGAAATATTGTCAATATTTTTAATTGTCAAATAATTTTTTATTAAAATTTTGATTTTTGAAAAATATTCTTTTTTTGCAAAAAAAAAAAATTATTGTAATAAACGAGAAAAAAGTTGTATATATATATGTTTGTTTGAATTTCAGTACCAGTTGCACAAGGGGAAACACTACAATTTTCTAAGGTAACGAGAAGTGAAATGGGCGCTTATTTATGTATAGCAAGCAATGGCGTACCTCCAACCGTCAGCAAACGAATGATATTACAAGTACACTGTAAGTAAACCATAATTTTTAACGAAAAAAAAAAAATTACAATTACTTTTTTCACAAAATATTTTTAAGAAAAAATTATTTACTTTGACGAGAATAAATAATTTTTTTTCTCATTAACCTGACGCAATTGAAATTTAATAAACACACAACCATAATAAAAAAATATATTTAATTTTAACCTATAAGAATACCATGTTGGTTATATCGATTATCGTATAACTTCAGAATGCCAAATAAACGTCAAGGTTTTAATTCTTATCTTGAGCTATAAAATAAAGCAGTAGAATATCGTAAAGTTGCTTGTTGAAGAAAAAAAAAACAAGAATTCAACCATATATACAATGGGAAAGGAAAACTTTTTATAGACCGTTTTTCCTGAGCCTTTAAACAGTTTGAAATATATCGACACAGAGAGAGAGAGAGAGAGAAAGAGAGAGTGAGAAAAAAAAGTTTTTCAAAATTAAGTAACGTCTTAAAACAAGATGGTCTGATAAAAATGAAGAAAAAAAAAGTATAGTGGAGTCTGAAAAGAAATAGCGAAAAAAATATATATTAAAGAAAGGCGTGAGAAAAGAAGCGTGAAATGGTCGCAAGCGAATGAGCTTTTGCCAAGTGGAATAACATTCGCGTAGTGTAGTAAGACGTTCCCTGCTACTGCTACTTCGCATCCCAGTTATGGACTATACTTATATAAAACGCTAAGTTTAATCCCACAGAAATCATTGTTATGACCCACAGGCCCTGCTCGTAACTGTACTTTCCAATGTCGACGGCAAATTTTTATGTTGGTATTAATATTATTGCGTCTGGACGAGATTTAAAAAAAAACTCAAATTCACGTGATTTATTTTTTAGTTCATTAATTTTAATTTTAATCTGATTATTAATATTTTCTAAATTTATTGAAATATTTTTATTACTTTTTTATTTCATTCATATTTTTATTTATACTTTATTTATATTTTATTTATATTTTATTTATATTTTATTTATATTTTATTTATATTTTATTCCATTTTTTAATATTCATTGCATTTAATATTGAATTTTAATTAAATGTCTATTATAATTAAAATCCAATTTTAAGAATATTAAAAGTTTTTAACTATAATTACATTCACTGATTATTTAAATAATGGATGTTTTATCAGTTTTGACTAATTTAAAAAAAACGAACCCTAGTAGAAATTTGTCGTGGATGCACTAGATTGACTCAAGTTACTTGACAGTTTTTCTCGCGGACGCTGATTCTAGCTGAACTGATAAATAACTGTGAAGTTACTGATCAGTGCTTTTTGAAAGAAATTCAAGTTGAACTTGATAATTCCACGACTCAAAGCTATCCAGTTTTTTTAATGGCACTGTCCAGTGCTGCTCGAAATTAAATTCATATCCTTGTCATGGCGGTGGCGCTTCAATAAGTCTAGTAACTGGACAGCTATGCTAGGATTTTGTGTATTGACATTTCGCTTGCTTGATTTAAAAAAATTACAACTTGTTTATAAAAATTAATAATAATAATATTAATATTCCTTTCTCAAAAAAAGACAGTGCATACAAAACACATGAAAATGTATCGAAATATCTCGGTGGTCGAAAAAATTGAATTTAAGAAAAAATGAACTTTGCTTTCCAGAGCATCTAAATCAATATTCATTTTATGAAAATCACTGTAAATTATTGTTCCACATATATATTTTTTGCATAACTTATCTTATTGCAATAAATATACACTTGCAAAATATTATTTGTTGTAAATGTTTGCCAGCTGTCATGAATCAGAAACGAACATAACCTATATTTAGTTGAAATCACTTGATTGGCCCAAGACAAAATAGCGCGCGCTTTTTTAAAATAATAAAATTTATTAAATTATAATAAAATAATTGCAATAAATTAAATTATTATGAAAATAATATTACCTTGAATAAAAAGTGTTTTTAGTTTTTTAAAAAAAATGATTAAACAATTATTATTATTTTCAGACAAATTTTACAAATATAGTAGAATATTATTTTTCTGTTTGAGTATATTATAATAATATAATAATAATAAGAATAATAATAATAATAATAATAATAATAATAATAATATATTATATCAATAATTATTAATTTATTAAAATAATTTTATTTATAAAATTTTACATATAATTTTTGAGGATAATAAATAAAAAAAATTAGTAATTAGTTTTTTATAATTGTCTAATGTTTAAATTAAATTATAAGTAAATCATTTAAAATCAAATAAACATCTAAAATGTTTATTTGCCTAGAAAATAATAAAAATAATATGCACAAATTCATAATATTATTAGGTACAGTGAAATACGTCAAGCATTTATTCTAATATCACTGATCAGAACGGCCGAGTTGCGTAAAGCGTGCGTTTCTTTCGTTCCCGCCCAGCGGACCCGTGTTCGCTCCCCGGTAGCCCCAAGATTTTTTCGTTGAAACTGCGAGAAGTGTTTTAAGGTTTATGTTATGACATTCATATTAATATAAAAATTATAATTGTTTCAGTGTTGTTAACAGTTCAGGTCAAGATGTTGCTTCAATCGTTTTACTTATGTAAATTTTTTTTTTAAATCCAGTTTAATTGTGAATGAAAAATTACATTTTTATAACGAATTACTATATTTAGTGCAATATATTTTCTTATAATAATTTTTGTTGATAATTGGAATATTTTTTTTAATTACATAAAATAAACGTGTTTACTACATTAAATCTTATTATTAAATGAATTTCGAAATATTTAAAAGAATTAATTTGACTAGTTTTTCAAAAGTCCTATTGATAAATAATTATCAAGTTGGGCTGGATAATAACTTGATGAAAAAAGCGTGACATGACATTCGAGTTTTTAGCTAGCTGGTCAGTCAAGTAACTAGACAGACTCCAGCGCGACTAGGCAGTTCCTTTAAAATAGCTAGGACAAATTTCTACTAGGGTAAAGAAGAATACTTCGTGTCTGACTAAAATCGATCTTTACTACTGAAAACGATTGATTTAATATTAAATGTGAAAAATTCTCATTTGCTTTCTCTAACAATTTTTTTTTTGAATAATTTAATTTACTAAGTAACTAATTAATAAATAAATAAAAATTAAGAAAAATTTTACAAAAAACAATTTTTTTGTTAGGACAGAACAATTCTTTCTTTTCTGAATAAATATGCCTATGTCTGACTAAAGTCTATCTATACTACTGAAAACAGTTCATTTATCCATTTATGTTAAATGTGACAAATTTTTAATTGCTTTTTCTCTAACAATTTTTTTTTCTAATAATTTAAATTACTAATTAACTAACTAATGAATAAATAAATAAAAATTAAGGAAATTTTTACTAAAAAATTTTTTTTTGTTAGGATAGAATTCTTTCTTTTCTAAATAAATATGCCTATGTCTGACTAAAATCGATCTATACTACTGAAAAAATCGAATTAATTTAACATTTAATGTTAAATTTTCCTTAATTTTTCAAGTACCAAATTTTTTTCCATAATAAATAAATCAACTTCAACTTTTACTACTGAAATTATAGTTTCAATTCAATGAAAAAAAATAAATTTCAAAATAAAAAAAAAGAATTAAGATTGCGATAATTATAATTACAGGGTCGAGGAGTAAAAAAGAAGTGCTCATTTAAAGTGTTGAATTGAAAAGCATGAAGAGAAAAAGTCGCTTATCTAAAACGTGGTCACTCGATTCACCCCTTCGTATTTTTTTTTTTACTATTTTTTTTCCCTATAGCGATCTAAAATGTCGATCGCAAAGCGAAGTGATGCGAGGAAACTGAATGAGACTCTTCAATTATTCCAAGGGATCTTATCGCAATTGTGCTTGTGTATAGCCATAAGATCGGTGGCTGAGCGGTGGCGTGTAAGCGTACATCCAATTTCCGGGGAGAAATTACCTTTGTGGAGATCTGAGACGCGAGAGAGAGAGAGAAAGAGAGAGAGAAGGAGAGAGAAGAAAGAGACGGTGAAGTTAGTCGTAACCGCAGCTTAATTCATTCTCCTGGTCTTCGAGTTTCAACAATTCTACTAAACTCAAGAGTATAGTAGATATATACTGTACCGCGAGTGTAATTATATTATCTAGTCCTTCTTATACGCATTTCCTTTTTTTTTTTACTCAACATTTTCTCCTAACATATATTTCTTTCTTTGTGACCCATTTTTCTTCTTTACAATACCGAAAAAAAAAAATTTATATACATCTTTTCTTACATTCCCATGCGGAAGGAAACTTGAAATAATATTTGATCATGTTAAAATAACATATAATTCTCCGCGCGCAAAATTTTGCATAATTTTTGTTTTAAATTATCTGCATATAAAACTTATTTATCTTTTGTATCTGGTCTTATTATTTTTTTTAAATTAAATTCAAGAGCTGTAATTTTTTTTTTCCTATTTATAATTACTTGCTCTTTTTATCACTTTATAGAAATTATTATGTCAATAAATATAATTAAATTTAACTCACCGACAGTTGAAAATGAGATTTAAATCAGCTTCACTCACCTGGAACAAAAGAAATTTTTTTGTTAGTCAAAACATTTTCAAAGAAAATTTAACAAATAATACTAACAATAATAACAATAATTATAAAAATAATAATATAATAATAATAAAAATATACATAAATAATTGTAATTTTTTTACTGAAACAGTCTCTCACTTTATTTTTTGTTTCGTTTACTATAAATGCCCCCCTTTTTTTATACTTCATCAGTATGAAATCGTGCAAAAAGGAAAACGATATAGCTATCTCTACACAGTGTCAAGCAAAAAACCAACTGACATTTCTGTCCTGTATACAATCGTCTTCTTCTAATCATGTTTTCTAATTTGCAATAAATTTAAAAAAATCTTAAAAATTTATTCAATTAATTATTTATTTATAACATATATAAACAGGCTCATAATGTATATATATATATATATTTGATTCTAAAATAAAAAAGTGATGCATATATTATTAATATAAAAAACAAGTGATGAGAAAAAAATTAACTGTAAAAAAAACATTTATATTTTCATGTGCGTATACTAAAAAAAAACAAACAAAAAACAAAGTATAGTATAACAATAGCGACTAGTGTAGTAGCTCTGAATTAAAATTTTAATGGATACTCAACAAAATTCATAAAAAAAAAATTTTTTTATTTTTCCATGTAAAAATTTACTTTTCTCGATAATACACAATAGCTATATACAATTTTATACATGAATCTATAAATAATTTTATACAGTATCTTTAAAATTCGTTGATACGACTAAAAATAATAAAATAGAAACAATATTAATATAATAATACGTAAATTATAATAAATAATAATTATTATAATTATTATTATTTTTATTATAATAATAATAAAAAACAATAATGTTGCAGCAAAATAAAAAAACTATTAACAAATAAAAGAAATGTAAATTCAAGTTTTCAACGGCATAAAAATTGAAAATATTGATTCTGAAAAAAAGCATTAATTAATTCTGAGTTTCGAACTGATGTACACAGGTTTAACAAACTTTTCTCATCACTATATATTATTTTCAACATCAAGTATATTGTCAAAATGATATAATGAAATAAACATCTTCAACAAGAAGTTGTTGAGAAAAAAAAGTGATATCTCAAAGTTACTAATTAATAATACACAGTATTTCAATGACTGGCAAAACTAATTTTATTTTTTATTTTCTCCTTCCCCATGTACAAAAAAAGTTTTTTATATTTAACAATTACTATTAAATGATAAATTTTATTATTTAAAAAATTCATCACTTATTGTTAAACAGAAACAAACTTAAAAATTTAATTATATTTTTTGATAAAAATTATTTATTTTCCCGTCTGATCATATACAATTTATACTACTTAAAGATTGATTAATTTTAAAATAGAGAGTTTAAGTAAACATTTATTTAATACCCAGAAAAAAAATTTATTTCATAAAAATAGTCACTTAACTATTGTCAAATAAATATTTACTTGAACCAAATAATTTTTATTTCATTTAAATAAATTGTACTTGGACCAATAATTTCTCTATTTGAAACATATACAAGGAAAAAAGATTTACTTGAAATAGCAAAAGGTTCCACTAGAATAGCGAAATTAACTGAAACAAGTAAAACTTTTGCTACTATAGCGAAATGTTTCACTGTTCTATGTAAATTTTTTTTCCGTGTTTAATTATTTGAGAGAAAAATAAATTATTATTTGATAATAATCAAATAACCGATTATTTGAATCAAATAAATATTTTTTTTCAATGTAATAATTTAGTAATGGAATATTTAAATTAAGCAAATTTTTTCCTTATACGAAGGACAAAATAAACGATCTAAATTCGAGTGACAAGAAATCTAAACACATATATTTATACATATATATATATATATATATAACAAGCTCCAGGTCTCGGGGTTCGTTTTTGGTTGATACGATTGCGGTATATGAAATAAGCCTGCAAAGCGAAACATCGGGACCGTAATGGGTTTTCGGGATGGGTGGTCCAGAGCGCAGTCTGCGGTTGGAAACCAGTGAAAACGGATCTTGAAGAGAACGGGGAGAGAGAGAGAGAGAGAAATATATATATATATAGAAGGTCGAAAGCGCAGGAACGCGTTCAATATATATACCGAGTCGAGAAATATATATAGAGGACAGAAAGGTACTGTGGTGATAAGATACCCTAGATCCTTCATGGCATTACCACCTACTCCTCCAGATGGGCCATTGTTACGACATTTACCGTAAAGTTTTCAAGTCACGCCAATTTTACGCCCGTCTTACGCACGCGTTCGTCATTACATTAATAAAAGCTTCTTTCCTCTCTCTTCTTCTTTGAAAATTTGTCTTTATTGACACATACACTTGCACCTCAATGAAGAAGCATCCCCCTCCACATCGTGTTTTTATGATCAAAAGAAGCTTATTTACAATTCCAATTTTCAAGATTATAACTTCAATCTCGCCAAAGTATTTTTTTTTTAGAATATAACGTTGCATATCGGAAACACATCGTATACACCATCAAGAGAATTTTTTTTAAACATATTTTGAATTAAATAAATAATATATTTGTCTCCGAGTTACAATTTTTTTATAATATGAGTACTACTGAAAGTATTCTATATTTTAGATGAAAAACAATATTTAGTATTCTTTTTTTAACAAAAAAAAAGTCTTCGTTTTTTTTTTTTGCAAAACAGACGTTTCACAATCGCATGCATTTAATCTTTTTTTTTTTCTTTTGCCTCAGATAATCTTTTCCCTACACACATTTCTATTCTTGCAAATACTCTTCATATCTATTGTATTCATTCATGTTTATCTCCTTCTGTTGCTTTTTATGCTTTTCCACACTTTATATTTTTTTTCACCTTTTTCTCTTCGCAGTCTGCATTTTAAGACCAAGACGATTATTTAGCGCAACCAGACTTATATATACGTCGTTGACTTTATTAAGTTTTATGTATGTAAATAAATAATCTTTCGAAAATTATTCTCTTTTATTCTAACATTTATTACTGAAATATTTCTTTCTATTTAATAATATTTTCAATATTTAGTATTTTTTTCTACTCTGTATTTCTAATGCTTATCATGTTTCATGCTTAATTTATACTCATTTTATCAAGATAAATTCAAGTTTTTAAAGAGAACAACTTTTAATTTTTCTCACACATTTATCATCGCAGAAACATGATCTTTCAACTGTTAATAAGAGCGACTTCATATCAACCAGAGAAGTCAGTTTACTTTTTAAGATAAGAATCATTCTCGAAATAACTTGCCAAAAAACTTTTTCATATTATTATTCATACAAATATGAAAAATGTTTCGAGTTTGTTAAATATTTATATTATATTATTTATCAAAAATAATTCTAGTTAAAATAATCCTAATAATTAAAAATCCTTCTTTTTGCAATAAAAAAATAAGAAAATATTTAGGTTACACCGGAAATATAGTATCCGCGTAGTACATGTGAAAATCTTCGGTCCAGCAAAGGTTAATCCTTTGTAATCTCTTTAAATGCATTATAATCTTCTGCGCATTCTCTTAAAATCTCTTTCAATTTGCTTCCTCTCTCTCTCTTTGTTAACAAAAGAAATTTTTCATTTTCATTATATTTATATATAAATTAAATTTAATAATAATAAATTTATACATAAAAATTATACATTTATACATAAATCTAATTGAACGAAATTTGTCTTTCAATAAAATGGAAATTTTATTTTGTATAAAAAATAATTAACATCTAATTACTTTACACGAGGAGAATAAATTTTCATTTTAACAAAATGATGATATTATATAGTTATATAACAAAGGTTAAGTACGATCATAAAAGGTTAAAGTCAGTGTCGATAAAATGCATTTTAAATTCAAAAGTTCAAGGCAAAAGAGAGATTACTTATACAATGAAGAAAATGTCAAGCGTTTCCCTTTGCAAAGGCGATTACACTTTCTCATATAAAAGAGTGGACTTTGTTTTCAAAAGCTATTTTACGATCGCTTTGTTAAAACTAAAATAAATTCACCAGTGTTACGAATTAATCTTTCTATATATCAAAAATACTATTCTGTTTTTAAAGGAAAGTTAGTTTTATAGTTTTAAAAGAACTAGAAACAAAATGGAAACAATACTTTTATTAATTTAATCAAGAAAAATTTTTTTTAGTAAAAAATAAAAATTTGCATATAATATAGGGACATTAATGTCTGAAAATGTATGAATGAAAGTTAAAAATTATTCCAAGGATATATAGGAAACGATTTGTGTTATTTGTATTTTCATAGTTGTATATATGTATTCGTACACTGTTGAAAATTAACGATGCATCCAACGTCTACTATATACTAAATATACAGGAACACGACAATACGACACAATTGGATTGATTTATGGTCCCGGCTCGGCCTTAACGTTGGAGCTAGAAAGTTTTAATTGCTTCGCGATATATTTTTCTGCCTATCACTTGACGAGAGGGAGAGAGAGAGAGAGACCCAGTTAAAGCCTGTTCCCGAGATGGATAGCATTTCACCAAATGTGGTTTTGCCAAACACCAAACCACGAGAGTCACCAATCAAACCGTATCGAATTTTATTTTAACTCTTTTAACTACCGAGACACAAATATATATATTTACGTATTTATGATATTGTAAAACAAATAAATAAACTTTCTATAAATCTCAATTATTGTTATAAAAATAACAATGTTACTTTCGTCTAGTTGTCAAAAAAAAATCAAGAGATAAAAAATACCAAATGAGCTAATTTATATGAATTGGAATCAAGAACAGTGGATCAAAATGAGAAATTTCCATAATAGAAGTAAAAAGGGACAATTTTTGATTTATATGAAACATGGTTCATGGGTCTTCCATCATAATCGATCCGTTAATTTGTCATGTTACAGTTCGTCCATTGATTCAAGTGCCGAATCAGCTTGTGGGTGCACCAACCGCTACTGATGCCACATTGGTTTGCTATGTAGAAGCTTCGCCAAAGCCTATAAATTATTGGACCCGTGAAACAGGTAAAAGCACTTTTTTTAACCAAAAATGAAAAAAAAATTTTTTTGTTTATCAAATAAAAATCGTATATAATAAACACAACTTGTTTTAGTAATCAATATTCGACTACCTACTTTAACTTTTCGAAAAAAAAGTTGTGACGAGCAAGTTATGCTTTCAATTACCCGCAATTTAACTTTTTAATTAAAATCTGTTTCAGGAGAATTTTCATTACTCTTGAGTCAACATTGCTAAATTGTGATTTTCAAACTTAAATTATAAAATCAGTTTGGAATAATAATTAATTGAATTTTTCTCCATTGTGCTATTATTGTTACGAAAAAAAACAATTACAAGTTTATCTTTCCCTAATCTGCTTTCTTTTTGAATTACTCAAAAATTAATTGATTTTTTCAGGGGAAATGATAATCACTAATGAAAAGTACTCAATGTCAGAAGTGAAATCATCACTGTATAGTGCGCAAATGCGTTTGTTAATAAAGGACCTGCAAGATCGTGATTTTGGTGGTTATAAATGCATCTCAAAGAATTCATTGGGTGATGCTGAGGGAAGCATTCATCTTTATCGTGAGTATTTCTTTTTTGATGGTCAAATAAATTTCTTTTTTAAAGGTAAACAAAAAGAAATGAAAAAAAAGTCGTAACAATCCCTACGAGACATTAAAAGACTTGGTGATTTTACCAAACGCATTTCCTTGAAACGTTCTGTGCGCCCTTCTAGTTTCTTGTTCGCATATAAAAGTATACCCCCTCTATATTCGTTGCATAAAACCGGATAACGACGTCAATGAAGCGCTCCATTTACTCCAGGATATTGTTATTCAACACGTATATATATTCATATATGAAAATGCATGTTTCAAATTTAACGAAACGACATTTTCACATTAAATAGTAATCTAATATACTTAATTTTCATAAACTGATGTGTATTCGATTTCTGATATTCTCTCATTTATATTTTATTCATCATATATAATCGTGAATATCTAATCTATTTAATTATATCAACTAAATGAATTTCGATCAAACAAGTTTCAATATTTTTTTTTTTTGATTTCTTTTTTTAATCATTTTTGATTTAAAAAAAGAAAAAATGTTAAAAGATAAAAATGTTTAATGACCTAAAAAAAGGTATTTTATTTTTGTTGTGAGATTACGAATAAGACGAATAACTTTTGCATATTTGTCGCACGAGAGTAATATAACCAAGTATCTAAATGAACAAGATTTATGTGGAAGCATTTCTAAAGGAGTTCTTATCTAAATCCATTAACGTGAAACTATAAAACGAAAGAGAGTGTGAGTATTTTTATCAATAAAATTTTTCATCTAATTTTTCCTTTTTAGGGTAAGCGCATTTTAGAGAAGAAAGACGGAGTGATAAGATCATTTTTGTGTTAGCATCACGCGCGGGCAAAGGACGAGCGAAGGTTTTGTTGTCAGTGGGCGTTAATTGTGGAAATTTTCCGGTGTAAACTATATATATATACGAACGCCTCTTGTCTTGTATCTCTTGGGCTCATTCGCACGCGGGGGTTGCTTTTCTCGTTGATGCGCTGCACCAAGCTACTACCCTGACTACATAGTCACGCGATCAGATAAGCTCCGAGGATTAACCGTTAAACAGAACCCGCGCGCTTGTAAGCACAAACTAAACTACAAAGAGGAATAGAGCTTCTGAGCGTTCAAGTAGAATATTATACCTGCTAATCAGTTGGCTTAATGAAAAACTTATATAGAAGTTATTTTCTTATATACACAGAAAAAAAATTGAACTCAAAATGAATAGTTTCCCTGTTCCATCATATATTTTCCCCAATTATTCATTATCTAGTATGAAACATTTGCTTATAGCCACTAAATCCAATACGACGCACTAATCACATTCAACGAATATTTTTACAGTTTTTCTATACAGGTTCATTTTAACTTTTATTTATCCGAATAGTATTTTTAATGAAACAAATTTATTTAATAGTAAATTCTCTAGTTGACTAATGAGAATAAATTTTATTGGTATAGAATCATATTTTCTGTCACGTGGGTACGAAAATCGTGAAATTTATTACTAGCCATGATTGTGGTTTTGCGGAACCTGCGAATCACCTGAGCAGGCTCTAATTCCGAAACTTCTTAGTGATTCAAAATGGTACACATAAGCTACCAATATCCGAGCTTTAGGATCCAAAATTTATACCGATACCTTTGACTTTCTGATTAAAACCAGAAATCTGCTATTGGAAGGCAAACTAATTTTTATAAGAGCTTGTAAATAAAAGATAAATAAAGAAATTCTTGCTTTAATTTTTTCAGAGTAATAAAATTTATAAATACTGTTTTTCGATAAATTGAAACAAGAAAAGTAGCATGAAGCGAAGTAAAAAAAGCATGACGTATTGTACGAAGATATGCCACATCATGTCAGGCTCGACTAAAAGTCCGCGAAACAATATCCTCCTCGTATTAGTTATCGTTTATCAGGGCATCCAGCCAGACAAAACGTGCAGGGTCTCGGGAATTGGGTGAGCCATCTGTTGCCAGAGACATGATCGATAAAAGTCCGCCAAGTGTTATCAGTGCTAAACTGTTATTTCGGCGAGAGCTGCCGCACACATACACATTTTCCACCCATATTCTCTCTCTCTCTCTCTCATCATCCTGTTCTCTTTTGGTTTTGCCCAATTTCTCCTCTCTCCACGCCACCCAAAAACCTTCGATCCTATCCTATATATACGATTTGCGGGAATACACGATAAATTGGATCTACCAACCGGATTCCTCGTCAAAGAGGAATTCTTGACTCCCGTTGTGATGTCGAGCGTGGAAATACTCGTGTGATTCTCATCTAAGCGGCGAGCATGTGGAAAAAAATGGGATTACCCAGGGGGTGTGTGTGTGGGTTTGTGTTACAATCGAGTACCCTTTGAAACAACGTTCTGCCTTCCCCGTGAACATCGCAAAGGTCGCCCGCAATGTCCCATTGCTTTTTTTAGAAAAAAGAAAAAATAGTTCACTCTCCAAAACCTGAATCAGAATTGAATGTTCTCTATTCAACGAATGCTAAATATTCAACTATAGACGAAAATAAAAGAAAAAATATCCGAATTAATTAAAAACAAAACCATTAATTACTTGCCCTATTTTCGTTAATGAACTTTATCTCTCAATTATATAGCAATAATCATATTTGAATTTTGCGAATCATATATATATATATATAAAATTTTAATCATTGCTGATAACATATATTTATTATACTTGTGTTATTAATCGATTCAGAATGTATATATATTCCCAAAGTTTCTAATTAGCTAAATCCAATAATAATTTGCAAATAAATGAGGCGTAAAATTAGCAAATTCTTTTTTACCCCTCTGCGAATATGCCATGGAATCGGTTGACAAACAAAATTATGTGATACATATAGTTATCTCAATATTTACAATCTAACATATCTATCTTGTTAAATTGGAAACGATTTGTAAACATTATATATACAGAGATAGGAAATAATATCAAACTGAATTTATGAGATTCAAAATCGATGAATTTTTTTTCAAATATGAAAAAGGGATTAATTATTAATAATAATTAGACGAACAACTAAATTAAATTTGTCAGCAAAAACAAAGTAGAAATATTTTTTTCATGATAAAATTTTCTGTTGCAGCAATGAATTTAGAGGATAAAAATAATGACGGTGTTCATCTTGAAGACGAAGCATCAGAAGATCGAGAAGGTCAAAGACTTAATCACGTGTATCAAGGATCATTAAGAGAAACTGGTTCAACATTGAGACCACGACATAATGGTGATGGTTACAATAATTCTAATTCATCGTTAAGAAAACATAAATCAACTGTTTGGATAATGCTAATTATATCCTATCACCTGACAAGGTACACGTAAGACCATCAATAAATATATATATATATAATAAGAGTTACCAAATCGTTCGTTTTCGTAAAAAGAATATTTTTAAAACTTTCGCAAATTTGAGACAAAAAAGTATAAACGCCGATTACGATAAAATTACTCAATAATCTTTATTTATACTCAGTAAATTTAATTTACTATAAGAAACTTATTAAATTATAGTATAAAACTTATAAGTTATTTTAAATAATTCAAATTTATAATAATATGAAAGTGTTTATTAAAGAATTTTCAAAACTTCTGTTCCATATTTTCATGCTAAATTAATTCTTATTCATAAGCGTGTAATTTACCTAAGAAAAAAATTTGAACGATTGGTGCTCAGCACTGAGGGTCTTTTTATTATTTTCGTTAAGAAAAAATGTGAGATATTTAAAAATGTAATACATTGGAAGTGAAAATGTTAGAAAATTTTTGATTGTTGCTAATAATAATAATAATAAAAGTAATAATAATAATAATGAAAATAATAATAATAATAATAATAATAAAAGAGTTCATCATTGTAAATAAAATTTGTCGTTTGTCTTCAATTCAATCTCGAATGAAAAATATTTTTTAAATTTTATATTTTTATTGTATTTGATTTATTTTCAAAAGCAAATCGGAAAATCTTATTTATCACTTGAGAAAAATATTCTATTGAATCAACAACATTTCTGCCATGAGGATAAAAAATTATATTTATTGAAAATCATATCCAATAGAATTTATAAAATTGATAAATTCTATAGCATATATGCTTTTTGAATAAATTTCTATAATTTTGGCAAAAATGTATTGTAATTTAATTAGTATATTTTTCCTAGTGTAAACTCTAAATTAAAATTATTAATTTTATCAAATTTTCAATTATAAAAATTCTATAATAAAAATACCGAAATACCGCGAAATTTTTCCCCATTCATAATTTTAATTTATTAAATTATAAATTTGTTAAATCTATTTGTTAAATTTATTTAATTTAATTGTTAAATTAAAAGATGTTATAATTTAAAATATACAAAATTTTAATTCAAAGACTGATATTTTATTAAAATTAAAAACGATAAAAAATTAAAATCCATTTTTAATTTATGAGTTTTTAGCTCTATTGTAATTTTAAACTGATATGTTTCTTTTTCAACAAAAAGTAGAATATATTTAAACTGAATGAATCTGAAATAAAAGTATGAAACTGTGTGCTTTTTTAATCCAGAACAATAATGTATCTACTAAGAGTTTACATTCAATATACATAGAGTAACGCGAGGATTTGTCGTGCAAACAGATTGAATTTCTAATTCAGATTCTCATAAACAAAATTTTTTTTTTATTAATAAACAATATTTATTATTTATTTTATATGGTGATTTTTTACAATTTAATTTCTATATAGAATTCTACCATAGAATAATATCGAAATTAAATAATTGTAAAAATATTTGGATATTAAATAATATTTTAATTTAAAGAATAATTAAATTTTAAATTAATATATTTTGCTATTCGCATTTATGAAAAAAAAGAGTCTTGAAATAGAAATTCAAACCTTTTGTTCGGTGCTATTTGTACATATCCCTCAAAAGTTTCATATTACAATTCCAAGTATGAAATGAAAAGTGTTGGCATTTAGAATTTATTATGAATATTAATTTCTTTTCTTATGTATACTATTCATAAGTTAATACATATCTAAATCCAATTGTTAAAATGTAAAATCAAGAAAAAAATTTGTCTACATTATGAAGTTAAAATCTCATCAAACATATCATATTGTTAAAAAAATGACAAGTTTAAATTCAAAATTAAGTTCCAAATTAAATTTATTAAGAAAATAAATTTTAACTTGTTCAGAATTATGACTTTCATATAAAATAATTTTTTTTTTTTTTTTGCAAAAAAACACTATAAACTTGTGAATGAAAAAATGTTAGCTAGCAAATAAAGGATTATTATTGCCTGTATTGTGTGCCAAATATTTAAATAAAGTAAGAATTTTAAAAAGGCAATGAAAAAGATACAACGCTAATTCCTCAAAAGAATAAATAAAATTTCTTTTCTATATTGTAGAATATAAATATTCATTACATCACTAAAAATCCCTTTTTCTCTCGAAGCTCAAAGGAATATACTTTCTTTATTTCATTTCGCTTTGAATCTTTATAATTAGATTTTAAACTTTTTCTTACGTTTCTCGGAATTTGGAAATAATATTGAGCAAATCAACACCTATTTTTCATCTCAACAAAAAAAAAAGATTTTAATTCCACGTTTTCTAGATACTATATAAGAATTTTTAATTCAAAGAAACAGTTATGTTTATAATATTTATAAAAATTTATTGTCTCTATAATAATGTTTACTCTTTAAATTAGAATAAGTGAAATATCTTCTTTGTGAAAATTGCGGTTTTTGTTTAAATTGATAAACAATAGATTATAAATGAAACAATCACTTAATTATCGTTATGCTCTTTTTGGTTTCTCTGTCTTCATAATATGGAAGTAAACACCTGTTGCTTTTGGCATGACTGAAGCGTCGCTTTGAATATTCAATGGTTCCTCTCGTTTTAAAATTTAATATTATATAAATTTGCAGAATATCGACAGTGACAAAAAAAAATTATATATACAAAATAAATTCAATTGGGATTTAAAAAATAAAATTCGTTCATGCCTGAGAATAATTGAAGGTTTGCTTTAAATATATCTGAAATCGATCGTTAATTAAACGATTGTTGAAACAAAGTTATATTAAGGTTTCAACTGATACTCAAAGTGTATCGCTTTGTTTTCCCTTTGGGAAAGTTTTGCACGCCCACGTGATCCGACTGTTAACACGAAACCTTCAATTTTCCCCTTTGGTTTTGTGTTATTAAATAATCTGTTTCTTTTCTTTAAAAAAAAAAAAACGCAATTTTCACTGTAGAATAAAAAGTTTTTTTATTAAAAAAAAGGAAATTTGTTATTATAAATTAAAAAAAAAATTTATGTCAAAAACTATTTTGAGGAATTATTACTTTTTAAATTTAAATGAAATCTTTGAATATAAAATTTTAATTTTTCAAAATTAATTTTATCAAAATTGAATATCAATTTTTTATTTTTCCCCTTTTTGCAAAGCTAACATTATTTACCCACAAGTTTTATAATAATGAATTAATAATCATTTCCCGTCAAAAAAAAAAAGAAAACAAATCCAGAGTAATTGTCGATCGAGTCCATGACTATTAGACCATAAGGGAATCGATTAATATTTAATGGAACTGAGAATTGTAGATGGTATACTGTATAATATAGGAAATAATATTATTGCAAACAAAAAAAAAGTTATCGGGTTGTTGACTATGAGTGTTTAAGAGAATTATATATATATATATATAAATATAAAGCCTAAGATAATAAAAAATCAAACCATAGCCGATTACATTCGCACCATATGGTAGAAAGTGCTAGATCTTTTATGAAAAGAGATATATTGCTACAAAATTATTATAGCGCATTGAGAAAACAAAAATCACTGATAAAATAATTTCTATTGCAATATATATTATATAGAACAAATATTAAATATTTTATCAGTGAATTAATAATGTCATCCACAAAAAAGTGACATCGGATTATAATTTTTGAAGAAAGAAATAAAGCACCCTAAAAAAAAGTAATCTTAATCAAAGAGGAAAACGAAACTAAAATTTTTTTTTCAAAAAAAAGAATAAAATTCATTACAAATAAAAAATTCTTTTTTCAAAAAATAATATGAAAATTTTCCTCTTAATATGAGTTTGCTTTCATACGGGTGCGAATGTTGCCTCAGAATGATTCGCGTTTAATTAGAGAGCGAGAGAGAGAGAATGAGAATGAAAGCGAAGATGAATGTTTTAAAAAAAAAAATTTGTTGTTGTCTCACAATTATGAATCCTTTTTTAATTGTACATTTTTTATCCCGTTTTGATAAAAAATTGATTCGCAAAAAATCGTTTATTACGATTTTAACACAGACGAAACGATAAAAGTCGATAATAAATTTTACGATTTTATTCTTCAAAAATATCTCAAAAAAATGAACTTCAAAATAAAAAGATTATTTTTGAAAATAATTTTTTTTTTTATTTTAAATATTTCGCTAGATAATTCAAAGTATACGCGCAGTGAATTTTATTATCGACTTTTCTCACTGTAATATCATGTAAATTAAACATGTCTAGTTATAAGTATCTTCGAGTGTAGAAAATATCGCGCCTCGCAATAATGTTTAAAAAAAAAACAATAATCTCACGTTACATGAAAATGTACAACATGCAGTGCGATTTAACTATTTACAACAAAATTCTCTCTGTGTATAATCAATCCAAAACCGAACTTGTACCAATCGATTCACAATACTATATTTGAGTCCGACGAAATTATACAGATGCGAAAAGAGAGAAAGAGAGAGAGAAAGAGAGAAATATATATATATATATAGCTGAATAAAAAGATATGAATGTAATTGATTTCAAATGTTCATTATTTATACCTTCTCTCTTCATTCACGTTTAAATTAAATCAGTTAAAACCATGTTTGTTCATTATTCCCTTCTTTTTTTTTAATTAATGTAATAATCTTCATATTTCAATATTATGGAAGTTTTCAAAAATTTAATTAAAATTCATTTTAGAACAAAAGAAAATTAATTTAAACATTTAATTTTTTTATTTATTTTAAACAAATAAATATTAATTTGGCTCTGAGAAAAAATATATTTTTTCTTCTGGTAAAAAAATTAATTAATTTTTTTTTTGGGAAAAAGTATTTAAAATATTTTTTTATGAATATACTTTTATACATTCTTTTATTTATACTCGTTGTGTTGTAGGTTAAAAAAAAAAGTTTTACTGACCGATTTGGTACCAATCCAACGTCAAATTAAATACTCTATGGTACACGACGGGAGCTAAATGCATTTTGCTGTTAACAACGATGAAACGCTGGATTGAACGTTTAAAAATAAAAATTGCGTCTATACGTAATTCCCCTTGACATTAATTTATTATAAATGTGAAAGAGAATGGAGTATTTAAATTCTATAAAATTTTTAATACAACAATTTAATTAATTTTATTAATTTCATTAAATTCCCTTTATCAAAAAAAAAAACAAAGACAATTTGAAAAAGAAACAATTACTAAGATATAAAACTATAAAAAAATTGATTTGGAACAATTAATATTAGTTTTTTTTTCCTTCTAAAAGTGCTCATTATATCTGATTAGAGAAGCAAGCTCCCTACTCATGCACGCGTGTAAACCACAATTCGTGCCTATGACCACAATATGCCTTCAACGATTGTTCATATTAATGAGCTATTGTGGAGATTCTGTGAAACGTGACGTTTGTACCACAACCGACTTTAGTTAGATCCCTCCCAGTTAAATTGAACGATTTGTAACCAACGGGTTCATGCTCGACGAGTTACATCGACATTT